ATTTAAGAATCAGATGGAAAGTGAAAAGGTCCTCGAGAGAGGTGTTGGCTTAGATTCCCAGAACTGTCAACAATCCCATAGGAAACATCACTCTCTCCCAGAGAAAAGTAGCTCTGAGTGAAGATTTAGACCTGCACTGTTCAATACCGTAACCACTACCCACGTGTGGCTACTGAACACTTGAAATGAGGCAAGTTTGAATCGAGATGTGTTTAAGTACAAAATGCACACCACATTTCAGAGATGTAGTATGAAGAAAATAACATAAAATCTCAATTTTTAACATATTGATTACGTGTCAAAATGATAATATTTAGCATATTCTGAGTAAATAATCTTATCTGCTCTTTTTACTCTTTTAAATGTATCTGCTGGGAAATCTTAAATAGCATATGTGGCTCACATTACTTTTTTGGAATGATGCTGATTTAGAAAACAAAGGTTCTCGAGGCGGGTGGATCGCTCAAGGTCAGGAGTTCAAGACCAGCCTGAGCAAGAGCGAGACCCCGTCTCTACTAAAAATAGAAAGAAATTATCTGGACAACTAAAAATATATAGAAAAAAAAATTAGCCGGGCATGGTGGCACATGCCTATAGTCCAGGGTACTCGGGAGGCTGAGGCAGGAGGATCGCTTGAGCCCAGGAGTTTGAGGTTGCTGTGAGCTGGCTGATGCCATGGCACTCTAGCCAGGGCAACAGAGCCAGATTCTGTCTCAAAAAAAAAAAAGAAGAAAAGAAAACAAAGGTTCTTTGACTTAATGCCTACAGGCTGTAAGCAAAAGCTGGTGTTACCAGTGGCAGCAATAAACGGTTTGTAACTGCTCCTGGTGAATTTTTAATTTTTCTTTCCAATAACCAGCCAGAGCTTCATCATCCCATTTAATGCTGGAAAGCTAAATACGTGCGTACATGTATACATTAGAAGCTATAAATCCAGATATCTTCAGAAACCTGTGACAGTGATGTCTTTTACCTGTTTCTCTGGTTTCTGTAGCAGCAGTGGTTTGTTCCTTTGGGTTAACACAGAATCCATCCAACAGAGTTTATGACCTTTTGTCTGAAGGAACAGTCCCTTACTATAAAACTGCTATCATTTACTGGCTATTGTTGCACGCGTGGCACCCCGCTGTGTACTTTACATCTATTATTTCATTTAAGCCTCACATAAGGTCATCAGGGTAATTAGAAATGAGGAGATTGGGTTCAGACAATACATCACTTGTCCAAGCCAGCTTTTCTCATTTCAAAACCTGCGTTCCCAGCCATTCTGCTACATTGCCTCCTATGGGAGGGTGGTGGTGAGAAGCCGTGGCTTTCGTGTCATAGATAGAGGAGGGATACCACCCCTCCCTCCTCGCCAAGCTTTTGGGGATATCAGCTTCTGCTTTGCAGCCTTGGTTTCCGAGGCTCACAGTGTGGGGAGAACCACACGGAGCGCGCGTGGCTAGTGAGCTAGTTGAGAGCCTTTAGCAGGAGCAGGGAGGAAATGCCAGGAAGTAGGAGGGCTTCTGATCTTTCCAGACAAGAAGCTGAAGAGGGTGGAGCTGTCAGAAAGGACATCCTGCCTCACTTGATTTTTTTAAATTTTATTTTTATTTTATTTTTTGAGACAGAGTCTTGCTCTGGTGCCCAGGCTAGAGTGCAGTGGTATCATCATAGCTTGCTGCAACCTCAAACTCCTGGGCTCAAGCCATCCTCCTGCTTCAGCCTCTGGAAAAGCTGGGACTACTGATGCACACCACCAGACCGGGCTAATTTTTGTATTTCTTGTAGAGATGGGGTCTCACTGTTGCTCAGGCTGGCCTTGAACTCCAGACCTCAAGTGATCCTCCCGCCTCGGCCTCCCGGAGTGCTAGAATTACAGGTATGAGCCACTGTGCGCGGCCCTGCCTCACTATAGATGGCTATCACCAGAGAGAAGCTGCCAAGCCCAGCATCACCCGGGGCACTGATTGACACACATGGAGAAACATGTTCTAAGGATCAAAAGTTTGTCATTACCAAGAAAGATGTATCAGGACACATTCTTTAGTCATTCAGTGTCTGGGACACTGTGAAAACAAAGGTGTTCTTGGAAAACTTAAAATTTTATGGAAAGTGGCTTGGGAATTAATGACATCACTCTTAATCATTCAGTGTTTTTGAATATTGAGTACCTGGAACAGGTAGTCGCCTGTCCTCCTCACTACCTGCAGAAGTTTTTGCTTTTCATGCTAAGGCTTTACGGAAAGCAGAGTGGAGGAGCAGTTATCTAGGATGTAGGAGTGAAAACTAGAAAATAAATATCCAGAAATCTGGCATTTATGCCAGACCAACCTGCTAAACTTCAGATTATACTGGTAGCCAGGAAAAAACTCGATTGTTGAAAGTATTGATTAGAAGCCCCAGATTTTCAAAAGTAATCACTCACTTGTTAAAGACTCATTTCTTGTGCACACAAGTGCGAAAAAGAGCCGATTTTAGCAGCCCAGGATAAATATCAGATGGTTGAAGGACACAGGAGATGGGTAGGCTCCCCACGATGGAGGGATTTTCTTCCCCTTGCACAAACTTTTTCAGAAACAAGATCAGAGTGTTCTCATTAGTTAACCAAGGCCGGGGCCACCCTTAACCTTCTAGGAGTAGTGTGTGCATGGTTACCCAAAGGAGTAGCTTTTGAATCCCAGGGAATTCGCTTTGTTGCAGACGTAAGACACATGATCTCTCAGTTTGAACTTAGCTCCACTTTCCTATGGGATGGTTGGTGCCAGGTGTGCTATACCTCCAGGTGTGTTCCTGTTAGGAATCCGTAGGCCAGACCTGAAAAGAAACTTGCCGACATCACCGCCCCACTCCACCCAGCCAGGAGTGCAGTATTCAGGTAGTTAGGGGTTCACTGGAGTCCTAAGATCTTAGGGCAAGAAGCCGGTAAGGTCAGAGGTGTCTGCCCTCTGCCATTTCCCCACTTCACAGATAAGGTAACTGAGGCTCAGGTGCAGGCTTATTGACCTGGGAAAGCCTGGAGCGCCTCCTTCTCCAGGAACACACCACTAGACCTGGGAGAATGTGCGCAGGTGCCCCTCGCTATCTTCCAAGCAGGCCAAACACCTTTTTCTGCCTCTTACCTGCGCCCTGGAGGAGAATTAGAACCCACACATTCCAAACCTTCACTTTTCCTCTAAACCTGAGCAGGCCGCTAATTTACAAACGAAAGAGAGGTGGAGGCAAGCAGATGGGGACGAAGGGCATCTGGGGACACACTGGAGGTTTCCCTGAAAGCCCACCATCCTGGATACAGCTACTCTTATCTGATCTCGGATGCTGAACAGCTGGCCCCGTATCTGGTTTATGGACTAGGCTGGTCAGCACTGAGGAAACCATAAATCAGGCAGAAAAAACCCTCCCTCTGTAATAGTCTCTTCAGGAAATGGAGACGGGATAAAGTAGGCAGGAATTAAAGAGTACCCCACTCACATAGGAGGCCACACTTCGAACCCCTGGTGGCCAAGCACAGATGACTTTTGTTCCAAAGCATCATCAGGTGAAATAACGTGGCTTCTCTCAACCCGACTGGTAACTGGTAGGCATAAGGGTCCCCTAGAAGGGAGGAGGGCTGGAGAAGCGAAGTAGAAGACAGCAAGCTGGCTCCAGCAGCCACAGCCCCTACAACAACTCCCCAGCCAGGTTTTAACCTCAGGCCTTTCCACTCCAGCCCGTCAAGTGCATCACACAAATTGGGCTTGTAACTATGGCAACAGTTTTCCACCCGGCGATGGCCGTTACCTGGACCACTGCATCTCTGTCTCTGATGGCAGTGAAGAAAGGAAAGGGGCTGAGCTCAGCAGAGAATAATTAGAGCCCACAGAGGGAAGCCAGGTGTCTAGAAGCATAGGGGCCCAGGCCAGTGGGGCTGCTCTTGACCTAAGGAATTAAGGCAGCACGAGTTTAACCTCCTGTGCATTCCTTCCACGAGTACAAGTCTGCGGGTTTATTTTTAATTAAAATGTTCACTTTTCTTCCTTACTGCAAAGACATGAAGAGCAAAAAATTTGAAAATTAAGATAAGCAAAGAAAAAAACCATTCATAATTCCTATTACACAAAGAGAGCCACTTTTAGTGGTTTGGTGTATGTGATCTTTTCTATGCAACTTTTTGTGCTTTAAAAAATACAACTAAATGTTTTCTAGTGTGCTTCTTCACTTACCAACACTGTGGATATTTTTCTAAGTGAATAAATATACATCTAAGATGTCATTTTTAACAACTGCATGCTACCCAGTTGTATGGATTCACTACATGGTATCTATCCAGGCCCCTATTGTTAGATATGAAGTTTGTGTTTAATTTTTGACTGTTAGAAATAACACTGGTTAAATCTGATCATATGATTTTATTTCTTTAGGATAAATTCCCCAAATCAAAATTTATCTTCTTATCATTTATCATCTTACCACCTTGGGGAAGACCCCATTACAGTTTTATCCCCATTTTACAGATCAGAAGATGAAGGCACAGAGAGGGGAAGTGATATGTCCCAGGTCACATAACTAACACGTGATGCAGTCAGACTTCCAGCCCAGGCCATCTGACGACATTTGTGTGGTTTCCATGATTCTTATTTTACTGGTGGAGAGGCACAGAGGGGTCATGTGACTTGCTCAGGAACATGAAGTTTGTCAGTGATGTCACTGGATTAATAACCAGGGTCTTGCAGATGCCCTATTCTGGCCTCTTTCTGCAAGACTGCTGCTTCTAGATCGTGTTAAGACAGATTCTGAAAAGGGAGGGCTTGGGTTAATTAATAGCACTGAACAGAAAGCAAGCTGTGATCCCCAAGGAATTCTACACAATCATATAAGTTTCTGGCATGAGTGGTCAGGAGGCTGAGCCTCTCAGAGTTCTGCAGTGATACAGGTGTTAGCTGCCATCCATGGCTCCCAGGACAGGTCTTGAGGCCCCACTTGGATTTGGGCTCTGTTTGGGGGTTGGATGCCACACTGACCACCCAGTACTAGTTCTGATGCTCTTTGCCAGTGTGTTGGTGACATGGCTTGAGGCCATTAAACTCACTGTGGGCTTCCAGGCTCCCTGGAACGTCTCCCATCCATTCAGTGTGCAAAGGCTGGGTGCAGGCCTCCAGATTGCCATGGACAAGGTCAACTCAGAGCCAGCGGGCTTTGGAAACCTCAGCTTAGAGTTCACTTACACCAACTCAGCCTGCAGCACCAAGGAGTACCTTGCTATTTTTATCAACCAGATCCAGAGAGAACAGATTTCTGCCCTGTTTGGACCAGCATGCCCAGAAGTAGCAGAGGTAGAGTATATAACCTTCTAGAAATTTTGGATGAGTTTCTACTGGAAGGGGTGGTCTTAAAGGTGATGGCACAGATTTGAATAATCTCTTGACAAGGATCACATTATTATAACAATAATAGATCTTGGGTATCTTTTGTTTTGAGATGTAATTAGACCATGTAATTAGAACAGTTAACATTCTCTTTAAAGAAAACCTTTCAAATCAATAATTGTTAGTTCCCTCACCCTCTTCCTCCTCCTGTTGATTGTTTGAACTTGCTGCTGTTGTGTATAGACTGTAATTATTCACTCTTATGTTGCCAGCTATGTGGCTCAGAAAAATTAAGAAGAAAACAGATGCTTGGTTTTAAATGGAAAACTATCAAGTGTTTGAGTAGACCTTTCTTTGGTGTGTGTAATAAATTATCCTGTGATGGTGAAAGTAAATGGAAAAGAATAAAGTATGAAAGATTACATAAACTAGAGCAAGAAAATGAGGGGAATGAATGATTTGTATTCATTTGGTTAATGGGGTGAGCTTTGTTGGTGTCTTTGGGTCTCACCTTGTCTCAGGTGTTGATGTAAAGGCTAAATAGGAACAAGCATCACAGGTCTCACTCTCAGAAATATTGCAGAACTATCATTAGTTGGAGCTGTAGAATTAAGTTCATATTTGATTTTGGATCTTGGTCTCTCTCTATTTGACACATTTTAAGCTGTCCAAAGCCTACTCATTCTTCAAAGTCAAGCTCAAATGCCATGGAGCCTTTCTTCATCTCTTCATCCCCAGCCCCGATATCCCCAATTTCCCAACCAGAAGTAATTTCTTACTTCTCTAAACTCCTATAAATCTATTGTTTATAAATCTTGAAGGGTATATTTAACTCTAGATATATTTTTATATACTTTAGTTCTTGTACTAAACCATACGCTCCTTTAAGAGCAAGGTCTCCAAAGTCCCTTGTGGACTCCTAATGAAAAATGGATCAGAAATGAATAAGGAATAAATTAAGAAAGAAAGACAGAGAGAATGAGTAGCTATGGGTGTGGGCTGGGGAACTGTATTCCTGAATTTCAATCCTGCTGCACTGTTTGCTAGCTATGTAACTTATGTCTTTGTATCTTCATGTTTTATCGTTAAAAAAGGGGTAATTATAATACCTACCTCATAAAAATGTAAAAGCTGAAATGATATATGTAAGCTCCAAGTAGAGCACTTGGCACATAGTAAGCACTCAATTAATGCTCACTTTTGCTATCTTTGTCCTCTGAGGTCTTGCATCTGCAAGTTGGATCCAAGACAGTATCATCAATATTCCAAAAGAGAGGGTCCAATATGACCCATATACTCAACTCTCTGAATCTGAGCTTTATGCACATACCTTACAATGGGGATTGAGTGTACATAAACTCAGTTATGGAAAGACATTCTTTTGGTTACTTTCTAGGTTATTGGTTTGTTGGCCTCTGAATGGAACATCCCTATGTTTGACTTTGTTGGACAAATGGCAAAACTGGAAGACCATTTCTTGTATGACACCTGTGTGAAACTTGTGCCACCCAAGAAAGACATCGGTGATGTGCTGCAGAAAAGTCTCCTGTACCTGGGCTGGAAACACATTGGGATGTTTGGAGGCTACTCTGGGACTTCCTCCTGGGATGGAGTAGATGAATTGTGGAGGGTTGTAGAGAATGAACTCAAATCCCATTTCACTCTCACTGCCAGCATGAGATACACCAACAACAGTCCAGCTCTCCTTCGAGAGAATCTTAGGAGTGTGTCATCAACTGCCAGGGGTAAGTAGGAAAAAGCCTCTGTCACTTATGTTTGGGGACACAAATAGGGCAAGCAGATTGGAAAAAACGTAAGAACTCCTCCTTTTTCCATGTGTGTAAAACGCAGACAGAAGCAGAGTACAAAATCAATGGTAAATAAAAGCAATTTCATTCTTTGCTTGGTATCACCAACAGAAACTTGGTGAGTTTTTTTTTTTTTTTTTTTTTTGGTCTAAAGTGAAATCCTAGATGTTGTAGTGTTATGATGCACAGAGTTAGTTCTGGAAGCATCTTCCAGGTGGGCTGGGTCCTGGACTTTGCTATTTGTTCAGAGCATGGGCTCTGTAGACAGACAGACTTAGGTTTGAATCCAGCCTCTGACACTGTCTAGCTGTGTCCTCCTGGGCATGTACCTTAGCCTCTCTGTGCCCCAAATACTTTCTCTGTATAACGGAGATAATCATCCTACTTACCTCACAGAAAGGTGAGGATTGAGTAAGGTCCTTCCTGTGAAGTGCTTCACACAGTGTCTAGACAAGCAGTTGGCCAACATCGGACAGCAATTATTTTGTGGTGATGCTTATAAGGCTCTACTTTCTAGCATGAATTAGTCACTGACTCCTTGCTATTCTTCAAATGAACGAAGCACTTTCTGGCCTTGGGACTTTGGGGCTTGCTGCTCCCTCAGCCAGGAGTATCACCTGCAGCCACACCCCTCCTACCCAGCACTCCTTCTGTGGGCAGTTTCCTCTCATCCGTCCAGACTCGGCCCAGAGCCCACCTCCTCAGAGAGACCTCCTTTCCGTGGCGTTGTCCCCCTAACCACATTAGTATTACGGTATCCTTTCCCTCCCTCACTCATTAGAATCTTAAATTATCTCTTTAATCTGTTCACTTGTATACTGTCTGCCTTCTGGCTTGCTCATGCCGTATCCTGTGCCTAGCACAGTGCTGGCACATGGTTGCTGCTCAGATAAATAGATTATAATCTACTTAATTAAAAAAATAAATCACTACCTCATTTGTGTGTCCTAAAATGAATGACGACGTGATTGAATGGAAGGGAAGTACATGGCCTACTCCTCCCTCAACCCCCAATCCTACTCAGAAAGTCCAAAGGCCTTTGATTCTAGGTCCTCTGTGGACTGCTCCCAACTGCTGTGTGGCTGACAAGTCGCAAGCTAGGTCCGCTCTTCTGATTTTTGAGTCAATTATGTGAAAGAAACTAGAGCACAGGGATGATATCGGATTTTTCTGTTTGTTCATCATTGGGGAGCTGCAGTAAAGACTTTAGTCCTGCAAGGCAAAAGGCACCAGTTTGTATATTGCAGGCTTGGTTCCAGATGTATACACTCAGGGAATAGCTTAGGCATTCCTGTTTCCCAAAGCATGCCCAAGAAAAGAAGTTTGTGTCTCATTTGCAGTGGTTTTCGGCTAGACTTTAAAAAAAGAGTGTGTGTGCACACACATGCAAGCATGTGCAATTGGCTGATTCTGTTTTTCATTCTTACAGTTATCATCTTAATCTGCAGCTCAGAGGATGCAAAAATTATTCTGCTGGCTGCAGAGAACCTGGGACTCAACACTGGAGATTTTGTCTTCATCATTCTGCAGCAGTTGGAGGTGGGCTCTGTTGACCACTCAAAGGCTCTGATAGTCGGAGGTAATGAGTATGGAGCACTTGCTATAAACCACGGGGAATCAGCTCCCTGAATACTCACTGCAACCCTAGGAGGCAGGCACTCTGGGATCCTCATCGTAAATTAGGAGACTAAGACTGAGCTGAAAGAACTTACCCAGAGTTCTCTTGCACAGCTGGTGAAAGGATGAGCCAGGACTCGAATTAGGTCAGCAAATGCCAGCGGAGGAAGAACTATTTCTACCTGGCAGCTGAGACCTTCCCACAGGACTCTCAAACACAGGGGCTCTCACTTCTTTTTCTTCTACAGCCACCTCCTTGTGTCCCTGCTGAGGCTCTAACAAAGGCCTGGAGAGACCAACATACTGGTCCAATGAGGCAATTGTTAGGTGGTTTGATTCTTTTGGTAATGATGGGAATGGCTACAATACCATGTGCTTACTGTGAGTCTTGAGTCACACGTTTTACATGCATCATTGCACTTGATATTCCCAACAGCCCTGTGAGGCACATTGTAATACACATGAGTGTAAATTCTGCACTTGATATTTCCAGCAGCCCTGGAAGGTAGATATTATTAGCATTCCAACTTACAGATAGAAAAATCAAGGCTTAGATAAGTAAGGTTCCTTACCTAAGATCTCAGAGCTCCCAAGTAGCGTAGCTGGTCTTCCAGGAAAGGAAGCGTTGGGCTCCTTTCCGCCCCCCATCAAGTGCAATAATGCATGGAAATAATGTATGTAATATCAGCCTCACAGGGCTATTGTGTCTGTGCATGTAACCACCGCATTACACTAGCAGGCATCTAAAAAAGCCACTTGCCTTTTGTTAGGGATACACTGTATTATTTTTCCAGCAGTTTTATCTTTCTAAAATGAGCTCTTTTTACACAATCACAGGAAGCTGAAATAGGGCACAGGGAGTAAAGGAAGCCGTACATTAATGCCCCAGATATTTCTTTCTATATTATGATTTTTTTTGAGACAGGGTCCCACTCTGTCCACTGGGTTAGAGTGCAGTGGTGCGATCACAGCTCACTGCAACCTCAAACTCCTGGGCTCAAGTGATCCTCTTGCCTCAGCCTCATGAATAGCTGGGACTATAGGTATGCACCACCACACTGGCTAATTATTCTTTTAAAATTTTTTTTGTAGAAATAGGGGTCTCGCTATTGCCCAGGCTGATCTCGAACTCCTGGCCTCAAGTGCTAGGATTACAGGCATGAGCCACCACGTCTGGCTCATAGATCATGAAATATTTTGGAGCACCAGAAGTATCTTGGTTTCTTTGGGTGGCCAGTTGGAATTCTAAACTCATTCCAGACTTTCCAGAGCGTCCTCCTACCTTCCTTTTCCTTGCTACCCACTTTCATTTCTGTTCACTTTCCCCTTCGCCTCTGCCTTTGGGTGGATGAGAAGAGGACAGGATGGGCCACATCTCAGTATCAGTAGGGAAGCCCTTCCAAGCTGCTGTTGCTCATTCCCCAAACCTCAATGATCCAATTCCAATTGGTGGGTGGTGGCACAAAGAAGATAGAACTAAAACTACACCACACGATGTCCATGCAATTGAATTCATGCAGCTTGAAGAAAGAATAGCATAAATCCATTTTATAAAACTGTTCCCAGTATAGGTTTCGGTAGCAAAAAAAACAAGCTGCAGAATGACAGTATAGTATGATGCCATCTATGCAAAACACACACACACACACACACACACACACACACACACACACTGAGTGGGTATATACTATTCATAATAGTAATGATATAGCTGATAATGATGATAAAAAAGCACTTAAGCAGAAAAGCAAGAATGGCCATCCCGAGCTTGTCAAGTTTCCACACTTGTCTTTAGAAGATAAGCTGTCTGCATCTTAGCTGCTTGAAGCCCCAGACACGTTTTTATTTTTTGTTTATTTATTTTCCCCCCTCCCCCACTGTTTATATGCCAGCTAGAAAACGTGGACCTTGCTTTGCAGGCCTTCTGGAATCATTGTGTTTCCCAGCACTAGAATGTAATGGTTCAAATTCCACATTGCCTTAAATGCGCTTCCCTTGCCCAAGTTATTTGGGCAAGAATGGTGACATTTATTTTATTACGTTTTAGGACAGTTTTTGGAAGGAGGCATTGACAAATCAGAAGATGACGCACTTCCCGAAAGTCTATACGTCAGTGCTTCTCATCGCCCTGAGCTCCTACGGAGAAGGCCCCAGGCGCAAGGGCTTCTGGGAACAAGTGTACCAGAGGCTGAGGGGGCCGCCCTTCCACAGCACGATCTCCTCGGAGGAGCAGGTCTGACGCGGGGGCTTCCTACACAGGCCCCACCTCCCCTTCTTCGACCTTACTTGTGTTTGGCTTTTGTGTTACTCCCCCTTATTTTCCCTCCCCCTTCCCCACCACTCCCTTACACACACACTCACATGCAAACACGTGCAAAACACATGTGCAAAAACACAGACACACTTCCCCACCTTCCATGCCCAAAACAAACAACAGTTTGATGCTCTCTTGTGAAATCTGTAACCCAGGACCACAGAGGAAAACCAAGATTACTAGGTGAAAGGCCATTGGCCTTTGAAGTCATAGACCTGGGCTCCCATTCTACTTCCGCTATTTGCTGACTGTGGGACCATGGAACAAATTGCTTAACCTCCTGACACCTCAGATTCTTCATCTATAAAATGGGCCTGATAATGGCATCCACCCCCCAGCTGGGGTTTTGAGTATCTAGTAACAGAATACATGCAAGTGGCAGAACAGATGCCAAACGGTACTCAGACCATGACAATTTCCCTGACCAGGGAGATCAGGACTGAGAATCAAGATAGCGCAGTCAGAGGTTTAGAGCTAGGACAGGCCCAGGCAAACAGATGGTCTGGAACAGGGAGAGAGATTATCAGCCAGCGGTAATCTCAGTATGTATGGGATGACCAGGCAAAGTGTCTGGCTCCCACAGAAAATTTTTTATGGACAGACTTTTGTCCAGAGTTGGAGGTCCTTCTAGGGTAAGGCTGAGTGGAGCCCTGGGGTGACAACAAGCCACTGATGACAGGGGGTTGGATTAGGAATGAGGGGGCCAATTGTGGATCTCAACACACAAGACAGGATGACCAAAGAGCATTTGTGGAGCAATCTGCTAAGTGTCAGCTCTGCACCACGTGCTGTAGGAGAACCGTGCCTGGCACTGGCAGGCACTTGTATTTTCGTTGACTAAACCAATAGAAGACATCATGTGTTAAACACCTACTATGGTCCAGGTACTACGGTAGGTAGTTTACCTATTCTGCCTCATTTAACTGTCATCACACTCACCCTACCAGTGATATCATCCCCATTTCATAAACAAATGAGCTGAGATTCAGAGATGTTACAGAACTTACTCCCGGTTTCATAGCCGGTAGGTAGCAGACCTGGCCTAGCTCCTAAATCTACCCTCTTTCACTTAAACCATACTCCCTCCCAACTGCAGCCTAAAGAGCTGTTCCTGAAGGACCCTGTGATCTAACTGGGAAATGAGACATCAAGAGGAACGTGAAGACGGTGATGTCTAGGTGTAGCACAGGCACAGGCATGTGGTGGGCGTGTGCTGCGTCCCACCGTTAAGAGGGTGGAGAGAGATGCCTCCCAGCTAAGCGCTGGACGGTGACCCAGGAGGCCGTGGGCCTCTTTAAACCCCGTGTTTGCTTCTCGTTGAAGGTGAGCCCATATTCTGCCTACCTCCACGACGCCGTCCTGCTCTACGCTCAGACGGTGCAGCAGGTGGCACAGGCTGGTGGGGACGTCTGGGATGGACGGCAGCTGGTCAGCAGCCTGCAAGATTCCAATTGGACTGCGGTGTGGGGTAAGTGGCCTGACTGCCGGGGTGTTCTGAACTCAGGCCGGCTGCTCCGGTCCGTGGGGGCTCTGAGATGCTGGGCATGCGACTAAAGGCCTCCTTTAGGGCCTGCCTGACACCGAGCTACAGAATTCACCTTTCTTGTGGAGATTCTGGTCTCCCATAGGGTGGTTGAGGTCAGACCTCCCGGCTGCCAGAGTCCATTCACCCTACTCTGCCCAGAAGGCAGCCCAGACAAGGCGAGGGGGCCTCTGGGCACCTTATTCCCTCCCTGAATGGAAAGTCTCCCCAGCAGCTCCTTTCAAACTAAATCCACCAAGAATAAAACTCAAAGCCAGGCACAGTGGCTTGTGCCTGTAATCCCAGCACTTTGGGAGGCCGAGGCAGGAGGATCACTTGAGCCCAGGAATTCGAGGTTACGGCGAGCTATGATCGGGCCACTGCACTTTTGCCTGAGCAACAAAGAGACCCTGTCTCTTAAAAAAAAAAAAAAATAGAAGAAGAAGACGACTCAAGGCTGTGAGACCTGCCTCCTGGGGTCACCTCCATGACCCTTTCTATCTGCAGCCTATGTGATGAGGGCCCTGGCATCATAGGCCTGTAAAGACGGGGTCTAATTTCATTTTTACTTTCCTTTTGGGGTTGCGTATAAGCTTGGGAGTGAACTGCTTTGAAATCACCCTCAGAGCTGACCAACTCCTTTGATCTTTCTTGTTCCAGTTTTCTTATTTGTAAGACAGAGATAATACCTGCTATCACATATGATAATAATAATAACCAGCATTTAGGGAAGGCTTACCTTACACGAAGCCAAATGCCAAGAGCGTGTGTGTATTACCTCATTTAATCCTCTTACAACCCATGAGGCAGGTACTCTTACTACGCAGGTTAGTAAACCAAGGGTACAAAGGTTATGTAGCTTGTCTAAAGTCACAAAGTTATTAGAGGGTGGAGCCAGGATTCAAAATAAGGCCTGCCTTCTCCTGGACTTATGTTCTTTGCTGTCGTGTAACACTGAGGGGTAATGAAAACACAAGTGCCTGGCACACAGTATGTGCTCATTCAATGGTAACCATTTTTATTTCTGCTTTGGCTCATCATTCACTTAATAAATTCTTACCTAAAATTTCTCTTAAAATTTAAAGAGAGTTGCCAAGGCCTGCTCTTTGGAGTTTTTATAGACTCGGGTCACATTTACCTTATTAATACTTTTTGCAAGTGAAAGTAAATATACATTAACCTGCTTCCCTCTCTTCTATCCTTCCAGACCCTGAAGCTTTTGCTTAAAAGGGGGCATAGCCAGAGGGGGCGGATCTTTGTTTCTACTCTCAGTTTAATCCCCTCTGTTGGATCAATTTTTTCCCTCCTTCCTTCCCTTTTAGAAATTCCTGGTGCTGGAATTAGGGGAGGGTGAGAAGGGCAGCAAGGCTCTTTAAGAGCATAAGGCATCTCGCTTTGGCTCCTGGGCTCCTTCCAGGGATTCATAGCTGAAGGGCCCTCCTTACCCGCTCCAAACTGGCTTCTGTTCCCTTGTGGGCTGCAGGACTGGCCCTGGCAGAATCAGGGTATTTGTCTCTGTCTCTTGTGTTCATTTCTGCCACATGGTGGCAACCACCACACTGGCCAGTGCTGAAGGGCTTTTACCCTATTCTGGAAGAGGGGCCCCCTCTAGGAGGCCAAGTTAGGGACTGGAGCTCCCCAGCCTTCCCTCTTGGCTTTGGTAATTTTGTGTCCTGTCCCCAGTGGGAACAAATCAGCAATAAGTCCTTTGTCAGAGCATGTCCCCTAGCCTGGGGAGTAGAGGAGTTTTGTGAGTGGAGTTTAGCACATCCTAAGCAAGAACAAAGAACATGCCGGGCCAGAATTGATCACTCTGCCAAAGCCTCAGCACACACCAAAACCAGAAGGGAAAGCTTGCAAACTTGTGCCCTAGGGGCCTGGTAGTGTGGAGAGGTGGGGTGAGGAGGGTGGGAGGGATGGGAGGAGGCAGCTGTCCCTTGGCCCCACCAAGTGCTGCCACGTGGCCATTCGGCCTCCTGTTGTCACATCTTCTGATTGTTTAAAGGAAGCATAAATCTGAGGTTCTATGTGAAATTAATTGGAAACTAACTTTGATTTCTTTTTTCAATGCTGGATGGGCCTCCCCATTGTAGGCTTAATAAAATACACCCGCCTGCCCCATGTGGCCCTTGAGCCGTACCAGGATGCCACCTCTGAATCGTCCTCTTCCCTTCGCTGTTCTCCGTTTATCCTGTCTCAAATTCCCTGAAATGGAAAAAACCTCATATCTGGCTTTCGGTGGCTGTTGAGGCAGGGGGTTCTGCCAAAGCGAGTTGGGCAGGCTGGCATTTCAAGCCATGAGTTCCTCTGTGTCCTCCTTACCCTGTGCAACCTCCTGTCTTTCCAGGAATCACCGGCCCTGTGTTTTTGGACTCCCAGGGGGAAAGGCACATGGATTACTCGGTTTATGCTCTACAGAAAGCTGGAAACGGATCCCTTTTTCTTCCTTTTCTTCACTATGACAGTTATCAGAAAGCAATCAGGTACTGGCAGGACATTTCTGCACATTTAGATCACGTTCCAGGAAGAGAGGTGGGAGGAGGAGGGCCCAGGGAGGGCCAGTTTGGGATCCAGTCCCTAGAATTCCCCCAAGTAGCCTGGAGCTCTCTGAACCCATAAAGATCAACTTTGGGCCTCTAAGGGGATTTTGCCCTTGACTGTGGGTGTGTCTGGAGCATTTCGGATTCCAGTGTAGAACACAGCACCCCACAGCCGCACCTCCACAGGGGCATGGGCCCGACTCCACACAGAGACAGGTGGACACCAGCAATGGCTGCCACCCGGTATTCCCAGTACTCAACAATCCGCGAAAAAAATCCCTGCTTTTGTTCTCTCAGCTACAAATCGATGAGAAAACTAAAAGGAAACCTAAAACTCAGTTCAATTTTTACCTCTGCCCACTGCCAGCACCACCAATCCTGATTTTATTTGACACTTTTTTCTCAGCTACTCTTATGGAATTTTAATGTATCAAAATGGGCCCAGGAAACAAAGTAAGCATGGAAAACTGTGTCCTCAGTATCGTTGGGACAGGCACACTCCACGTTGAAGGAGATGTTTTGGTCTGTGAAATGTCCAGGGGCTATAAAACAAGATGTGTCTTGTCTCATAACAAAAGTGACAAACTCAGCAACATTGAATTGGCACATCACCTTTTAAATCAAAAGAGACGTGGCTGAAATCAAAAGGTTGAGGCAAAAAGATACTGCCTTCCTTGAATTAGATTACCTGGAGGCTGGATTTGAAGAGTCCAGGGCAGGTGGGAAGATTGGACGGGTCAGCAAAAGTTTGAATTGAGAGACGAAGGACTGATTTTTGCCAATAATGTGCACATTTCAGTTGCCCCTGCTGTATATGACATAGAGAATAAGTGGAATACATCCAGGGGACACTGACCTTTATGGCTTTTTTTAAAGACCCGCAGGGAATTTCTCCAATATTACTTGGCCCCACGTCTCCCTTCCTGAAGACAGACCTGGCTGTGGATTTTATGACGAGCTCTGCAAAGCTGGGCCTGCTGTTGGAGGTAAGTGTGGCTGCTTGGAGAAGGTAGCAGGAAAGGATTCTCTAAGGCAGGGGTTCTTAACAGTGGTGTCACTCTTGACATTTTGGGCCAGATAATCTTTATGTGTGGTAAGGGGAACTGTTTGGTGTATTGTAGGATGTTTCGCAGCATCCCTGGCCTCTACTCACAGACGCCAGTAGCAACCCTCTGGTTGTAACAACCAAACGTGTCTCCATCGCCATATGACCCCTAGGGGCAACATCATCCACTTGCCCTGTTGAGAATGCTCTAGGGGAACGTGGATCCTGAGAGTTGTGTTCCTGGATCTTCATTTCTAGGGAGGTAGAAAGAGTCTGGGCAGGGGAGTGTGGCTCAGTGGTTTGGAGCCTGGCCCTGCAATGAGATAGATCATGCCTGGAGAACACCCCCGAGAGCACACATGCTAAATGTCTAAGAAAAAGCGGCGGTGTTATGAGAAGTCGCATTATTATTTCTCTGCAGTGAAAGTTTCTCTGCAGAGGGGAAGGTGAGTACAGTTGCCATGGGAACTGGAGGGGTAGTCAGGGAAGGATTCCTGGAAGGGACAGCTTGTGTGACAAGTCTGAGTGGACTCCATATGTCCCAACCCGAACCTACCTCTGAGAAGCCTTTGGGTCACCTGCCTGGCAGGGCCAGGCTGGGGCAGGGATGTGCTCACTTCTGCTCTGAGACAGGCCTGAGTCACGTGTCTCTACCTCCAGGTGTGACTGCTGTGACTCTCACAGTGATGCTCCTCGTTACCGCCTTGGGAGCTGCCATCGTAGGGCTGATTTTAAGGATGCAGAGGGGAAAACTGCAGAGGCAGAATAAAGACATCTGGTGGCAAATCAATTATGACAACATCACCATTCTTCCCCAGAACAAGGTGAGGCCACACACGACCCAGATGTCCACTTTCCTGGTCACTGCTGGCGATTTGTGGAAGGGCCCTCATGAGAGCAAAGGGCTGACTCATTTATAAAGTGGGCACTCTGGCAGAGTCTTGAGACCTGAGTTTTCATTCTAGAACCAGAACTCCCACTTCCTTGCTGAATATCTCTGAGAATGTCATTTCCCCTCCCTGAGACTCAGTTTCTGAATATTCACAAATGATTGATAGTCTCTAAAGTTCCCTGCAGCTCTGTTACTCTGTAGGTGTGAGAACTGTATATCCTGTTCAGATATTAAAGCTGTCTCCTGGGGAGCATTTAATTATTCTTACAGCCACGTCAATGACTGTTTGCTCTGCAAACACCTGTTGACCATCCACTGCAGGCCAAGTATGGTACAAGGCATGGAGGTACCTCACCTTCCCTGCAGATGGAGGGACTAAAGGTCTCAGCATCAGGAAGGTGTCAGAGAGGAGATGACATTGGGGAAGAGTTTGTCAGCAGGGACAAGCAGAGAAGTCACACAGGCTGTACCAAAATGTGGGATGCTTCGGGCTGGGAAGCTGAGCTGGCACCCAGCCAGGGAGGCTAAGACCAGGAGATTGGGATTCATTAGGAATTCATTTCCAGATGTCCCTGGGAATTCTGAAGGTACCTCTTCCCACTTCAACCAAAGCAGCTCTGCTTCGATCCTCCTGGTTTCCATGTTATGTAACAGAGTAGTCACCCCTTGTCCCATAGATATGGAAGGGAAATATTGAGAGTGGGGAATATGTAACAGAGGGAATGGCCTGGGGAAAAAACGGGCAGTAAGATTTTCTGTCTTTTTAAAACTTCCTCCACTCTTTTGGGAATTTATAGCCTGGCCTGCATCCCTGAGGTAGGTTAAGTCTGTTGTTCAAACTCCCAGGTGGCCACCAGACCCCTGGGCAGCTGTCAGAGTTCACAGGCTTGGTTTATGGCAGAGACAGGATGATTAGAATAGTTAACCACAGTAATTGCCTGAAGCTGAGAACCCTCCCTTTAAAAGCTCTGTATTTCTGCCTGTGTTCAGGAAATTTGGGATTTTGAGCCAAGAAGGTCTACCATATTTCCTCCTTTTCTGGCAAAGTAAACTCTCTCTTTCCTTCCTCCTCAAACCTCTTGTCCTTGTTATTTGGCCTCGTGGACAAGTGACTGAGCTTTCCTAATCCTAACAATTAGGATTCCAAGTAAGAGTCTCCTTGAAAAATAGGGTCCCGGTGCTTTGGAGGTGTTCTCTGGGGAGGCACTGCAAGTATTGAACAGAGAGATGACCTGGTTAGATGTTCGTCTAGAAAAGTGACTGTGACCCCAGGTCACACATCTGGTTAAGTGCCAGAGCTAGAACTTGAATCTGGGTAGGCTGCCCATGCTGTCTGTGGGGGTACGGACACCAGGAGTGATGCCTGTAGCAGGTACCTACTCACACTTCAGGTCAGAAAGTTCAGGGTTCAAATCCTGACTCTCCCATTTATTAACTATGTCACCTTGGCCCTCATCTTCCTCATCTATAAAATGCACAGTCCCTTCAGCACTTGGCCATGCTACCGAGAGCGACTGAATGATGTCCTGTTTTACAGCCCTCCCAGAGAGACACACCTGTGTTGAGAGGGAACAAGAGTAACTCATCTAGTGCGATGATTTCTGCGGACCTCAGCTCCTTTGTCAAAAGCCAGCAGGGGGAAGAGCTCGTCTATGCCCCAGTAGGGTTTTACCAGGTACTTCTGCGGGCAGGTGGCTGCCTGTGGGTCTTATCTCTGTTCCATTCTCCACATGCAAGGGTGGGGCATTCTGAAAAGGAGAACATTCTCCAGGCAAAAAAACCAAAGGGGGTCTTGAAACTCCAGACAGGTGCTTCCCAAACTTTAATGTGCATACAAATCACCTGAGGCTCTTGATAAAATGCAGATTCAGGGTTAGCACCTGCAGGTCTGGGGTGACACCTGAAATTCTGCATTTCTAAGAGGCTCCCGGGTGATTCCTATGCTGGCTTCTAGATTAAATTCAACTCTGTCCAGACAAACTTTCTGTGTTGATGGAAATGTCCCTAATCTGTGCTGTCCGATATGGTAGCCACTAGCCAGACAGGGCTATTGAAATTTAAGTTGATTAAAATAAAATTTAAAACTCAGTTCCCCAGACACACTAATGTTCAGTAGTCACAGGAGGCTAGTGGCTACCTTAATGGACAGCACAGTTCTAGAGCGTGGATTATTTCATCCTCGGTACTTTAGCATGGATGAATCAGTTGTGGGTGTTGGTGCTTCTGCAGTGTAGACAGCAACCATTGCTGAAACCTGGAACATAACTCCCACCTGTCCTTTCTCACCCCTCCTTCCACACCCAGACCATGATAGGTCTGGACTTAGCAATTCTTCAGAAATTCAAGACCCCTGGGGGAAAGTTATGTAAAGACTGAAAATCTGTATTTGTTCTGTAAAATGCAAGTCCTGGAGAGTAGGGACAGAAAGCTCCGAACATGGGAAGAATTGTTCATTGCTCTAAACTGGGATTACTAAAGATTAGCGATGAATCATTCCCTATGCAACTGAACTTAATTTTCTAAATGTTTGCTTATTTGAGTCTTCAAACTACAAAAACTTCCTAGGATCTTACCAAACACCCTAGGGACCACCATCCATATGACACCGTGTGGGGTGGTCACCCGGCCATTTATAGAAGGAAGCCAGCAATCCACAGCGTATCACTGTCTGATTAATCTTCCTGCAATGTGTCCCCTCTCCCTGCCCTCAAACACCACCACCAGATCCCCCGACTCTGTTGCCTGCATGGTGGTGCCCAAAGTCTTTAACAAGGGACCAAACCCGTTGACTACTTTAGTCCTGACTTTTAGAACCTTTTTTTTTCCTGGCCCAAATCCTATGCTCAGCCAATTGATCTTACCAGTTATGTTGACTATGCCATACCTGTTCCCCATTCCCCCACCTGGAACCTTCTTATCTCTCAGGGTTCAGCTTAAGCATCACCCCTTCCAAGAATCCTTTCCTTCATCCCACAGCCCTTCCTTCCTCCATGGAACTCCCATCACAGCCCATTACTCCCACACCAGAAGTCGCAGATCTTGGGTTGATATTTAACTCATACTGAGTCTTACATTCTCCTGTGTCCAGATTCTCTTCTGCTACCCAGCTCTTACACATCACTGTATGTTTTTCTGGTGATTGATTAAATGACTCTCTAGAAGCAGACTTGAGAGGCAATAACCATAAGATATACCATTTGCTGAAAATGTACTATGTGCCAGGCATTGAGTTACAGTGGTAAGTGTTTTAACTGATTTAATCCTCAGAACAACTCGATGCGATTGATGTTTATTTATTTAGTTAGTTATTTTAGAGAGGGCCATGAGGGCAGTGGCATGATCATAGCTCACTGCACCCTCAAACTCCTGCCTCAGCCTCACAAGTAGCTGGGACCACAGGTACGCACCACCACGCCCAGCTAATTTTTGTAGAGACAGGGTCTTGCTATGTTGCCCAGGCTGGCCTCAAACTCTTGACCTCAAGCAACCTCCCGACCTCGGCCTCCCAAAGTGCTAGGGTTACAGGTGTGAGCCATGCACCAGGACTGGTGCTATTTTGAATCCCCATTTTACAGATGAGGAAATGGAGGCTTGGAACAGTTAAATCCCTCGTTCAAGGTTGTTTGGGTAGTAAGTGTTAGCACTGGGCTTTGAGCCAGGCATTTGACTCCAGACTTTCATTTATGATCTCAACTCATTATTTCCTCTGAATGATAATGGGGCATTATTGTATAACAGAAAGAGTATTGTCTTGGAGTCACACTTTCAAATTCTGTCTGTGCTACCTACAAATGCGCAACCTTGAAGAAGTTACCCAACCTCAGTGATCCCATCTGGAAATGCATTAATCCTACCTACTTTGCAGGGCTGAGATCTTGTGAAGCAGCTAGCTCAGGGCTCGGACATAGCACAGTGCCACCCTGATCCCTCTCATAGGGGGATTTCTTGCCACTCTTCCTGCTCCCCTTCCTAGCCTGGAGCTTTTTCTGGATCATGCCAGGTTAAGAACATTCCACTTTGCCTCTGATTCCAGGGAAACCACGTGGCCATCTGCTATGTCGGTGACCAAGCAGAAGCCTGGGTTAAGAAGCCGACTGTGCTACAGGAAATCCGCCTGGTAAGGCCCCTGCCCCAGGAGGAGACAAAGCAGCACTGCTCTCTGCCCCTGCTCTGCCAGCTCCCTGTTCCCAAGGAGCAATGGTGGGAGGGTGCTTCCCTTAACTTGGCCTGCCTCTCCCTCCCCCCGAGAGCCCAGATGCTCTGGCCTGACCCAGACACCTGAAACCTGGGATCCCTCCAACCTCTGCTTTTTCCCCTTAATTCTTCCTGGCCTTAGTTCTGGCCCTTCATCCTCTGTGTCTGTGATGACTGCTTCCCTGCCTTGAACCTGGTCTTGAGGGAGTCATGTTCATGGGCTCTGATTTCTTGCTCCGTATCTGCGGCCTGTTGTGGCCCGCACACTGGTGTAGACAGCCATAAGCAGGGAAGCAGGACTGAGTCTATCACTGTGACATGGTTTAGTTTATCCCCATGGCCAAGGTTAGACTTTGATCATTCCTCTGGTTTACTTGCTGGAGGACGACTTCCTAGGTTCGCCTCCCAGCTCTGCCACTTAGAAGTTATATGATCTTTGACAAGTTACTTTACCCTTTGAGCATCAGTTCCCTTATCTGCAAAATGAAAGAAGTTATCATCTGCATCTCACAGGTTTTTGTAAGAATTAACTAAAAATATGTAAAGTACATAGCACAGTCCTTGGCACAAAGATGCACTCTATACATGAGCTATTGTGATCATTATTATTTCCAGATGTGTGAATTAAGGCACGAGAACATTGTTCACTTCTTTGGTATTTGCGCAGAACCACCTAACATCTGCATTGTCACCCAGTATTGCAAAAAAGGAAGTCTTAAGGTAAGCAAAATAGTCACTCTTACCTCAGGTTTGCTTAGCGACAGCTAATAAAGGACCTTATCAATGCTTTCTCCTGTTTATCCAAGGACTGTTTCTCTCTGGTTTAATTGCAAGACCTGAATTATTTTGTTGGGCTACCTGCTAGGGATCAAATTAGCAGCGGAGTTGCCAAGTGTCTGGTTTCCTTTGTTCTGGGTGGAAATTGTCTGAGTTTGGTTTCTTCTCCTAAGATATTATGGCTATCCTTGAACTGTGTTCCTGGGTCCGTCCTACCCATGGTATGTGACCAACAGCTTTATGTTAGGAATGAGGGAGTGTTTGTAAAACTCTAAACTGCTTATTTTCTCAATATTGAGTCAGGTTATGATATCTCCTGGGAAGATTTATAGCTACTAGATTTAATGGTTTTTTGCCTCACATTGTATTGGTTCTGGCTAAAAATATCAGATATATTGGAGTCAAATCTGTTCAACGGATGAAGCTCACTGTGCTTCAAGTTGAGTCACTGGTGATATTTTGAATAACTGTGTTTTTCAGGATGTTTTGAGAAACTCAGACCATGAAATGGATTGGATATTCAAACTCTCATTTGCATATGATATAGTCAATGTGAGTATAGCATCAACTTGTTTAAAGAATCAATATGATAATGTTTTTGAGTTGTTCTATGGATGAAATTGAACTGTAATCTTTCCTGAAAATTCCGGCCCTCTTCAACAAAGGGATTCCAGCTCTAAAAACTACCACTTCGATCGGATTTTCCATGCTTTTCTTCCCTGATTATAATATTAATAAATAGGGAGACAGGAAAGTATGTTACACTAAAGTTGGAATGGCCGATAGGCTTACCCGATCAGGAAAGAGCAGAGTGTTTACATTTTCGGGTACAGCTTTTACTCTCAAAGAAAATCTAATTACTAGACCATAAATGGAGCTGGGGAAGAGAGTTCCTAATGCCCCTTCCTGTGCAGCAAGGGTTGAGAGCAACTGGCCGAGACAGGCCTTGTCAGACTGTGTGTGCACAAGAATCACGTGGGGCCCTTGTTAAAATACGCGCTCTGATCCAGTAGGTCTGGGGTGGGGCCTGAGACTCTGCGTTTCTGCCAAGCTCCCAGGTGATGCTGCTGGTCCCAGGCCACCCTCCAAGCAGCAGGGGTCTAGGCAGTCCCATCTCACAGATGGAAAAATTGAATCCCAGTGAGGTGAAGCGACTTACTTGAAGAGACTGAACAGTGAAGTCCAGACTTGAACGCAAATCTTCTGGCTCTAGTTCTTTCTGCCCTCTTCATAGACGATAGTAATACTATGGAACCCCTGAGAACACAGTGGATGCCATAAGAAGTCTTCAGTGTTCCTCATTTTTCCTGAGAAGGGCTCAGACAAGATACTTAAATGCACGTAATAGCATATGGTTTGTAATATGTAGGTAATAAAATAATCTTCTTAATGACATAGTGCGGTTTCTATGTCATTGATGTTTTCTACCATATTTATGCATGTATCATGGTTATGTAATTTTTTCATTATAACTTACATTGGGTATTTACTTTGTGTCACGAACTGTGCCTGGTGTTTTTTTTTTTTTTAATCTCCACAACCACACTGTGAGTAGGCATTTTGTCACTTCCATTTTGGTAAGAAGAATGAGGCTTACAGGCATAAAGTAACTCCCCCTCTGCGAAGTGGTTGAGCTGGGATTTGAACCCAGGAACCTGACCATCAGGATGTATTTATTTTAAGCTGGCCTTGCCTTCCTGGCTTCACGGTGGGGAGCTGGAAATAATACTTTTCTCCATTTTGAGTGTCCCTTCCCAGGTTGACTCCTAGACAAGGGGCTGTGCTGGTGGCTCTTGAACACATGGACACAGAGATAGGCACATGCCCTGCCCTGGGTCTGTGTTTCTGTCCATCTGTCTTTCTGCCTGGGTTTCTGCCAACAATGTCACTGGCACCGGGTCTGCCTCATCTGCTCATTCTCACCCTTGCAGGGCATGCTGTTCCTCCACAGGAGCCCGCTGGGGTCCCATGGCAACCTGAAGCCTTCCAACTGCCTGGTGGACGGTCGGATGCAGGTGAAGCTGACGGGATTTGGGCTGTGGGAACTCAAGTATGGCCAGACATACAGAACATTCGATGAGAAAACTACTGATCCCTCAGGTAGCCAATGGCAGATCTTGTACCCAGTGGTGGTAGGCAGGAGGGTCAGGGGTTCCTTATCCTATCTGTGCTCCCTAGTGCTCACTTGCCCAGGTACCCACAGGTGGGTCTTCCTCTGGAGCTCACGGGGTGATGTCTGGGTAGGAGACTGGTTCTCATCTTGGCTCAGCTGGGCCACCTGCGGCAAGCATCACCCTCCCTTTATTCCTCTGTGTTCCCTCCTGCACTTACCCTACATTCTCAGCATAGAACGTGAGATTTGCCAGGCACTTTAGAGACAACCCAATCCCATAGTTCTCTTTCTTCTAGGTAGCTGGGGTCCCTCCCCTACCATATCAGTTGAATCAGAATATCTGAAGATTGAAGACGGGGTATGGACATCAAATTTCATTTTATTTTATTTATTTTTTTATTGAGACGGGGTGTTGCTCTGTTGCCCAGGCTAAAGTGATCCTCCTACCTCAGCCTCCCAAGTAGCTGGGACCACAGGTGTGCTCCACCATACTTAGCTAATTTAAAAATTGTTTTGTAGAGATGGGGTCTCACTGTGTTGTCTAGGCTGGTCTTAAACTCAAGGGATCCTCCTGCCTCAACCTCCCAAAGTGCTGGGATTACAGGTGTGAGCCACTGCACCAGCCAGTATTGTTTTTGAAATGCTTGCAAGCGATGTGCATGTCAAGACAAGACCCATTGCCTCAAATCCAACCCTCTTTTACACATGAGCAAATTGGGGCTCGGTGATCCTTCCAACTTGTCCAAAGTTACTTGAATGCCTTTGGGTGTCACCTCCTCACGTTCAGCCCAATGTTCCCAGCCCCGACCCCTTATCTGTCAGATCAGCATGTCGCCAGCAGCTTTTCTGTGTGAATGTGGGGAGGTTTCTATACCATGTAATTTGATGGTGTCTTATAGAAAGACAAGGGAGAAACTTTGAAGACCTGCTAGTAGCCACTCCTAGTTCTGCATCCTCTAATATATATAGATTTTCTTTTAATGTTTATAACCCATAATGATCTATATCAATATAGATCTCACTGCAAACAAAACAAAGTAGATATATAAAATATCCAGAATAGATAAACCCATAGAGACAGATGCAGATTGGTGGTTGCCAGGGGCTAACAGAGGGAGAACAGGGAGGAACTGCTCCATGGGTAAGCGTTTTCCTTTGGAGTGATGGAAATATTTTGGAACTAGATGGAGGTTGTGGTTGCACAACATTGTGAATGTGCTAAATGCCACTGAATTGTTCACTTTAAAATGGTTTATTTTATATTGTGTAAATCATACTTCAATGAGTTATCCTTAAAAATATGGGCGATGCAGGAAAGAAAAAAGAAAATAAAAACCACCTGTAATTCCACAGTTATGCGTGAACCAGCAGTAACACATTAGTGCACGTCCTTCCTGGCAGTTTTCTCCATATTCCCACACTCTGCTCTTCGGCCCTCAGGGCTGATGGCTCAGGGCTGGATTCTTTCCCTACTCCTGTGCACCCCTAAGGATGAAGGGGTGGCTTTTCCTGTTTCATCCAGCAGTGCCTCGCTTCATGTGGACATCCCATTGCTTTGCAGAGCTCTACTGGATGGCTCCGGAGCTGTTGAGGCTCCCAGAGATGCCGCGGTCAGGCACCCCAAAGGGAGACGTTTACAGCTTTGCCATTCTGATGCGGGAGCTGATCTACCACCCGGACCACGGGCCCTTTGACGACCTCGATGAGGCACCGGCTGGTAAAGGGGAGAGTTGGCTTTTGTTGTATGGGTTGGCTTTGAAATGTTTGTCAAACTCTTGGCAATCTCTGATCTATTTTCTGTCTCTATAATTTTGCCTTTTCCAGAGTATCACATAAGCAGAATCAAACAGTATGTAGCCTTTTCAGATTGGCCTCTATAACCTAGTAATATGCATTCAAGACTCATCCATGTTGTTGCACCCACAACATTTTTATACCAAAACATGTATATATTATTCTGAAAGTATTATTTCTTTTACAACATCTGGGTAAGCAGAATGTTTAGTAAGTATCAGTAGAAGCCAATGAGGAAATGAAAGAAAATAGGTTTACAAAATTGGACAGAGAAGCAGAACATGATGGTAACATTTATTATTTGTTAAAATAGCTTTTCTCTAATGTATTATATGGAATTCAAAATTGCATAGAGCATTATTTGGGGATTTGCAACACCAAATACTTATACATTCCTGAAATCATATGGAGGTATGTGTTATCTCAAGAAAAGTTCTGTTTTAAAACCTTAATTTAAAAACAGATGAATTAGGAGGGTGCCTCTATGTCGTACACTAGAATTCTTCATTTTCCAGGAGAATCAGAGTATTTTTATGAAAATATCCAGATTTCTCTGGAATTCCAATCTATTCTATGACTTAGTTTATAAATTTAAGAGCACAGTTACTGCTTAAAGTGAAAGCACAGACATTTGGCTATCTCAACCCAAAATGAATTTCAGAAATCATCAACCGAATCAAAGACCCCAGGGCGTCAGTTCCGCTGCGACCGTCCCTGTGTGAGGAGAAAGGCAATGAAAAGATCGTGCTCATGGTGATGGCATGTTGGGATGAATCTCCAGAGAAAAGGCCCTCTTTCCAGTCTATCAAGAAGACTTTACAAGAGGCCAGTCCCAAAGGGTGAGTTAGAGGTGCAACAGACATTTTCTCTTAGTCCTTTAACCCCTGGAATTTTAAAATTATACGGCTGTGATTGGTTCCATGTGACTCACTCCCCTCATTCCTCCATTCTACCATTCATTCATTCATTTATTCATTCACCATATACTCAATGCCTGCCACATGCAAAGCCTTGTGCTACGTGCTGGTTAAAGTGGAGTGTAAAATTCTCCCTTTATTTCATCCATATTATAAAAATGTATCTGATATTACTAATTCTACCACCTTCTTTGTCCATTCCAGAAATCACTAATCAATCAAGGCCTTCTTTCCCAGGGAGTTCTGGCATGGCCTGAGAATCTGTTTCCAATCAGCATTCCCGGGGTCATGACTAACAAATTGGGATTGGATTAGGGGGTTAAAAATTATTTACTACCTTTAGAATAGGTGTAACTTAAATTATGCATGCTTTTCAAACAATTTTCTCAATGGTAGCTTCCTTCACACCATGTTAGTTATATCATCTTTTGACACATTGGATATGTGAAGACATCACCATATTAGAGGTAGCTTGTGTTGGTAGAAAGAATCCCGGGGCTGGGAGTCAGGTGTCTACTCCTAATTTGGCCACTGGCTATGCATTCTTAACAAAATACCCCAAATACCCCTGTATTCTGCATTTTCCAGATCATAGTATTATAGTTTTGAAAAATTTAAAACTTTCTGATATTATTTTTAAAATTGAAAAATGAAAAATTGTTTCTATTTATGATGTACAATGCGATGCTTTGATTGATGTACACTTTGTGGGCTGTAAATCAAACTAATTAGCATATTGGTACATCTCAGGTCGGTTGATATGTCCTGACTTTTTACTCAGAAAATATGGTCCCGGTGTGAAGACAAGTCTGTTTTCCTATGTGAGTCTCAGCCTCCTCATCCAAAAGATGAGGGATATAAATGGGTTCTCTGAAGACCCTTCTAAAACAAAAAAGCTACAGGATCTAGAAGTGCCCCTTACATTGGACAATCCGAAAAGAAAAGAATGACTCTTCCCCAAATCTGCATTTTCAATGGGATGGAGACTATTGGGAGGTGGGGGAAGAGCCATTAAGGCCACCATTTAAGTGCCTACAGGTGCCAGACAGAGCCCTGGACACTTCGCATACATTATGTCCCTAAAATCCTCAGCACGACCCTGTGAGGTATGTATTATTATCTCCACTTTCTGGATGAGTAAATGGAGGCTCAGAAAAATGAAGGGGGCAGCTGAAGCTCCCAGGCTCTGTCCTGCCACGTGGCCTCATTGCCGTTGTCGTTTCCCTGCTGTCGATTGGCAGCCCTTCAGGAGGAAACCTTAGGGGTGAGAAATGGTTTCTTGGAATGTGTACCTGGAAGTTGTGTTCCACTGTGGCCCTAAAGTTCTTGGAAGAAGATGCTAATGTTTGGGTTCTTTTCTAGCCATGTGAGCATACTGGACAGCATGGTGAGCAAGCTGGAAGTGTATGCCAATCGCCTGGAGGAAGTGGTGGCAGAGAGGACCAGCCAGCTGATGGCAGAGAAGAGGAAGGTGGAGAAGCTTCTGTCCACAATGTTGCCCAGGTATTCCAAAGCACTGGGGGCTGTGACAAAGAAATCCAGGGAGTGGCTCCACATGGAGGGATTATTCCATGGTTCTTTCCCTAAGAGGATGCCATGTCTTTCAGAAAGGGGTCCAGCATTTTGTGTAATTTAGTACACTGTAAAGGGAGATAGAGGCAAACCCCTCTGAATCCAATGGAAATAGAAGTAGGTCTTTTACCTGGAAGGTGTTGGATACAACAGGAGTGACCACTAGATGGCGCTCTAGTTCCATGAGTCTGACCAGTTGCTAACTCCGCAGTATTTCAGACTACGTGCAAAACCTTTGCACGTACAAAGGGTGCAGTATGTACCCATGATTTCAGATTTAAAAATTGTTTCCTTTTTGGCTTTGTTTTCACCTGTGCACTTTCTCAACACTTGGCAGAAGCATTTGCTGTTAAAATTCCTCTGCATGTCTTGACCAAAGAAACGGAGGCAGGGATTTTTAATGTGAGATTTGTTGATTGAAATAAAAATTTTGATTTGTGGATTGGTGAATGATTACATTTGCTTCCACGTTTGCAGACCAAGTCTTTACAATCAAACTCTATAACCAATATATACAGGGAGAAAATCCTTTTTGTGAAGGCATTTATGTGACCCACTTCTCTGTTGCCCCCGGCCCCAATTTATACCCACCAATTATAATAAAATATCTCTTTAGAGAAAATGGAGGTGGAGAAATGGATATCAAAAGAATTCCTCCAGATGATGGGTTTTGTTAACCAAAAACCTAGCCATTGAAGCAAAAGGACCTACAAGGGCAACTTTGCAGGGGTCTTTAAGAGTCGAGATGAATAAGATCTTGTTCAAAAATGATTCTCTCCTCTGGTTTCAGCTTCATTGGAGAACAGCTCGTGGCTGGAAGGTCCGTGGAACCAGAACACTTTGAGTCCGTGACAATCTTTTTCTCTGACATCGTTGGATTCACAAAGCTGTGTTCTCTCAGCTCGCCCTTGCAAGTTGTCAAGCTCCTCAATGACCTGTACAGTTTGTTCGATCACATCATTACGGCGTATGATGTGTATAAGGTGAGTGGCCGGCTGCCGGCTGGCAAGGCACACGTGCGGCTTGTCGGCTGTCTCGGGGCATGACTGAGGACCGGACTGACCCCAGGTGTCAGCCTCGAGGAAGGCTCCATTTCAGTCCGTGTCACTTCGTGGCAGAAACTCAATATTTTATTCCTGTTTGTTTTCTTGGAAAAGGTCTTGATTAGTCACAGATGTATGTGTTTGCCAAGAATCACCAGTTGTTCTCCCTGTTTCCTTCCATTATTTTATCTCTCAGTAAACACTTCCCTGAAAGAGACATTGGCCTTCTAATTGCTGATTCCTCCGCTTCCCTCCTGAATATATTTCCTTCAGAGGCAGAGAGGCTCGCATTTACTCTCCTTTAGGGGTTGTCTTTGGATCTTGTGTGGGTCTCACTTCCGTTAGCACAATCTTTAGCAATTTAGGGTAAAGATAGACTCCCAAGGTTAGACTATCAGGCTCGTGGCTAAAGGGGAGACTGCAACACTTACTGCCTGCTGCTCCTCTGGGAGGCATATGAATATGGTCACCTAGAGTAAAAAACAATTGTTGGTGGGGAGGAGAGGAAAACCAGCAATAATCTGGCTTCATTCAAGTGGTGGTGATGACAGCTGCTTTATGTGTTTTCAGATTCTTCAGATGGGGTCAGATCATGACTCCAGGGACAGTTCTGTGTGCTTGAGCTCACATATTTCTGGGGGGCAGCCACGAGTGCACCAGCTCTGACCATAATCCCAGGGTTCTGTCTCTGCCTGCAGTCCCAGGGCCCAGTGAGATTTGGAGGACAGTGTGATCATATCTTGGTGACACAGTGGCACGTTCTTAGTGGTTATGCCCCAGTGTTCCCCACAAATGATGCCTCTGTTCGAAGGTGAAAGAAAGGATGGTATGGATAACCTTTAAAAGAAGATCACATACACCCAACAAAACTGGAACTTGCCCCGCTTACGGGGGTGTCTTCTGGGATTTTCCTCTTAGGGTTACCTTCTCCATTATGTTTTGCGTGAGCTAATGTTAAAACTAGTTTGTATTTCTAAAGGATATTCTCATGACGGGGAGAGGTAGCCCATAAGCAGGCTAGACTTGTCAACTAATTGACTTTGTGTAATTTGGGGGTAACCAGGAGAGAGGTGCTTTACTGCCCGGCTACTGCCTGAAATTTCTCTTTTACCATGTCATCTTTGAATTCTGCTAAAATGCAAATATGTCTAGAAAGGGCTGTAACTTTAAGCTTCTCTTTGTCATTTATTTCTCTATTGTGAATGAAGGATCTGAAAGGTGATTTTATTAGGAGGATTGGGGAAGAAGATCAGGCAGACATAGGTGTTTATATACATGTGTGTGAATGGATACATTTTGTATAATGTCCAATGCACACACATGCATAAATGTATGTAAGAGCCCCTGTGCAGGGTGAGGACATTTCAGGTTGAGTATGATGGATTCCACTTGATGGATCCACCTGATCCTTCAAGATTTGCCCCATCAGTACACTGCTGCCTGTCTGGCTGCTTCTGAGCTTGGGCTGGGGAAATACAGTCACCACCACTGTGGGACATGGGAGGAGGAAGCAGGGAAGGAAGGCTTTGCAGAAAAACCAGGACAAAGGCAGGGAGTGGAGGAAATGCTTGGACTTGCATGGGACAGAGGTCAGGGAGTATGATGTCTCAACATATGGAGGCTCAAGGCTGGGGACAAATGGGAGCCTTGGTCTCTGACCCCACTCCCACCCTTGGCCTCCCTCATGGAAAACAAAGGTCACTTTGTTGCTTTATTTTCAGGTCGAGACCATTGGAGATGCATACATGGTGGTCAGCGGACTTCCCATCCGCAATGGAACCCAGCATGTAGACGAGATTGCCACCATGTCCCTGCACTTTCTCAGTGCCACCATCCACTTCCAGATTGGGCACATGCCCGAGGAGAAGCTCAAGCTCCGGATTGGCCTCCACACAGGTAGACGGAACTGATGGCAGGTGGCCCTATGGTCCAGGTTTGGCGACAGGTAGTTCTGGGTTCGAGTCCTAGGTCCAAGGCTTTTAGGAACCCAGATGTTGAATGGTAACATCTTCGGGGGAAACAAAAGATTGAATTCTGTCTGCATGTGTCTTTCCAATTAGCTAGATTGCTTGGTAACAACAGGGACACACAGCAGCTCTAAGGTGTTGAACCAAAAATAAAGAGGCGACCCCAAACCAGGGCCATTGTAAGGGCTACTTTCCCTCCATGCCTCTGTGTCAAGTGCCCTTTGATATGTTCTGTGTTTGTCAACTCAGGAGCATGTGATCTGTGCAGAAGTGGCCCATACTTGGTTTAACGCTCTTCTGTCACTGTCTTGAAATTCTTTATAATCTTTGAACAAAGCGTCTCATATTTTCACTTTGAACCAGTCCCCACAAATGACTTAGGAAGTCATGCTCCTACCTCTCCTTCAAGGCTCAACTAAAATAAAACCTGATCCCCAATCGGAAGTAATCACTCCCATATTCCTACTGCTTTTGGTTTTGTTTACAGCTCGAGTTCACAAATAACATGGTCATTTATTGATCATGTCGCTTTCCACCAGGAGTCTGTGGGTTCTGTAGGTTGCCTCTTTGTGAATCCTAAGACATATTGCCATGCTTTGCCCCAAGAGGGCACTTAAGAAATATTCGTTGAACTGCATTTATTGACTCGATGCGCATCGTGGCGTCCAGCCTTGGGACGTGCAGACTGGTTATGCCCTTTGCTTCTCTGTTCCTCAGGTCCTGTGGTGGCTGGCGTGGTGGGCATCACCATGCCCAGATACTGTCTATTCGGGGACACTGTGAACGTGGCATCCAGAATGGAGAGCAGCAGTTTGCGTGGGTATCATTGTCAGTACTTCGTAGACACAATACTGCTGTCCCTCCAGTCCCCTATCTTTAACTGGGGGATATTTTTAGAAGATGCATTTGCATTCTGTCTGCGGTTTTCCATGTGGAGGAGAAGATCATTATCCACTTCAGGCAACACTGATCACAAGCTTTGTAGACAGGGCTTCACTGTGCTCGCTGTGTAAATATACCTGGCCTCCCCCTTCCAAGGCTGTCTGTTCTACAGCCACACACACATGTAATACAATCATTTTAATGAAGTGCAGGAGTCAGAAAACCTTCTCTGTGCAGGGCCAGACAGTAACTATTTTAGGCTTCAGGGGCCATAGAGTCTCTGTCACAACTACTTAACTCTTCTATTGTAGCTTGAAAGCAGCTGTAGGCAATATATTAATGAATGGGCATGACCATATGCCAATAATTCTTTATTTGTAAACACAAGCAGTGGTCTGGATTCTGCCTGTGGGTGGTAATTTGTCCATCCCTGATGCAGAGTGTATTCTTGGTGGTGCAGAAGAAATCTACAGCCAGCAACTCTGGGGAACATCACATTTTTTGCTTTATAGAAATTTTATCACATTGACTATCGCTAGACATATTTATGCCATTTATCAGTCAAGACATGTAAAAAAGAATTACTCAGCGATTTAAGTTTCAAAGAGCTGAGGTTAATATTATTTTGAGTCTGTAAATTTCCCACAAAATATAAAAACACACGCACAAAATTTTGTCCTTTGATTATTTTGTTGTCTAAGTTAAGCAAGTCTCAAACACAGATTTAAACGTCTCTCAGATTTAACTTTTTCTCTCTTCTAAGTAAAGGTTTTTAGAATACATTTTTAAAGGTAGAGTTGGTTATATAGGCTTCAGACCTGATTCCAGTTGCATTTCTGGTTACAAACTACATTTTCAGTAATATGTCCCAGGTCTGGTATCGTCCCAGGAAGCCCAAAAAGCCCAGTGAACTTCCATTCGTGGGAATTACGAATTTGCAAAGTGAATCAGTTCTCCCTCCTGTTTCTGGACTGAACATACTAAGGTTTGAGCAGCACTCAGCAGTGTCTCAGCAATGCCATCAGGGTAGGGGATCTCAGCCTAAGTGTCCCAGACTTCGGAGAGGTTGTCTGTGTCTTGATTTATGAGAAGTCCTGCAGTATAGGTTCCCTCTCCAAAGAAGCCCCAGCCCACTGATGAGTTTATAACAAGGCAATCGCTGGTTTATGGCAGCTCTTCGGATCCAGGTCTCTCAGAGCACTGCAGGCGCCCTGTTGGCATTGGGAGGGTACGATTTGCAAAAGAGAGGCACCATTCCAGTCAAGGTAAGACGGGGCCAGCTGTGCCCCACCCGGCCCGGCCCCATTTGCATCTCTGATAGGGAAGTCGAGGGACTTGGTGGGAAAATGCATCTTCACAGAGTGATACACAGAGACCTCGGGTCTCTCTGGAGACTCTCGCGACTGCCAGTCTTCTTCCTTCAGTTCCCTCAAATAGTCAAACATGGAACCTCCGACAGAGAACACCTTAGTCCCACCTGGACCACCCCCTTATGGGATGCCTCCTGTCGCCGTCACAAATGGTCCCCCAGCTTCCTCTCAAACACCCCAGCCCAGGTCCTCACACAAAGCAACAGCAATACAAGCCCAGGAATTATAATGTCCCCTTTCCTCTGTGTCCCCTCTCCTGAGTTTAAAGTGCCCCAGTAGAGCAGAGGAAGTCCACAGGTTGGCCTTGGACGGACTAGAACCTCACCTGTATGCATTAAAAAATTCTGTCCCTTTTCCTTCATCTCGGCTTGGGTTGGTCAGTGAAATGTGCCATGACACATTCTTGTCTTCCCCTTTGGAGTGAGTGCCCTTCCCCGGGCAGGCAGAGGGGAGATGTTTGCGGTGGGAGTGGTGGGTGGTTACTGTGACTCTGGTGTTTGGGTGGGAGCAAAGGGGAGCGAGTGGCACCAACTTCCCCAGCTGCTGAGCCTGCCCCAGGCCCGCTGTGTCCAGTCAACAGGCTTCAGGTAAGAGGAAGACTTTTCTAGAAGGCAGCAGTGTAGGCCCAGCTTGGAATCCTGTCCTGCTACTCACTTGCTGTCTGACTCAGAGGCTTGGTTTTGCTGTATGCAAATGGGGATGGTGATAAACTGCCCTGGAAGGGTGGGTGTGACTAGTGAAGGTGGACATGTATGTGAGGTGCTTCACCTGGTGTCCAACTCATGCTAAGGGTTCAATTATTTTTTAAAAGGATTTTCTTTGCAACAAGCTGTAGCCTCCACGGGCCCCTCACCCCTAGGGCATTGCTGGAGGCCCACGGGGGCTTATCAGCAGAGCCGGAGAACCTCCTCGGGATTCCCTCTGTTAGGAGACCCTTCCCTCCACGAGGCAGCTTGGCGGTCCCATCCTGTGTTTCCTCAGAGCCTGCCTTTGCCTCCCACAGGGCAAAGGAGAGCAAACAACTTTCTGGTTGAAAGGCAAGGAAAGCTTCACTATTTCACTCCCCGAATTTACCGAGGAAGAAGCTCAAGTCCCAGAGATCTTCTGAGGTGAGTCTTTTCTTACAAGGTGCGTGTGGAGTCGCAGGAAAGTCCATCCTTCGTTGGGACACACAGTAAATATCCTATTTAAGAATCGTGGTTCTGGGGTATGAGCCAAACCCCCACTAGGGGGCGCCGTCTAACCGGCCTGCTCTTTCTATTCCAGCGTTGGCCCCCAGCGCAATGTGGACGCTACAGACGTGAGATCATTTCCTGGGGGCCAGGGCTGGGCTCTTGCTCCCAGCCCTGTGTGACTGCCCTAGCTGCCAGATGCTTCCAGCCCATTAACTCCTGAGTTTGCAGTGAACCCAGTTTCCTTCGGGGAGAGCGGAAGCAGGCCCTGCCCTGCCTTTCTGTGGCTGCACCCTATCCCTTGGTGCTCATTTCCCTATCAGCTAATTAGCTTGCAAGGAGATAGGAGCCCCTTTCTG